CAAAGAACTCTGAGGCATAGGAAAGAAATGATCCTTCAATCCTTCTGCCACATAGATAAACTCTTCTACCAGAACACAGAGACTTGGAAAATCAGATATCAGGAACCATGACAGGAAGTTGAGGGTCTACAGCAGACTTGTCAGGAGGCTGTAAACTGCATGGGAGGAGAGGGCTCATCTTTCCCTGGAGGGGCTGCTGGTGGATTTGAATCACTAGACAGATGATTCCCTTGAATTAGCAGCACTGACTGTCTATGGACTACTCCACCAAAGCTCATAGGGTGTTTTTCTTTTCTTTATATTTTATTTATTTTGTTGTGTTTGAGAACATACATAGGAAAATATATACTTATCCAACAGTTCCTATGCACAGAAATTAGTAACATATAGTCTTTGAGTTAATGCAACCATTCTCACTCTCCTTTTTGGAGCTGTACCTTCCTCATCAACATAACTCATTGCCCCTTAAGGGTAATCTTTCATGTGGCTGTTGCCAATTTGATCAAACTGTATCCTTTCAATACCTCTATTTTATACATGATGAAGCAGATAGTGAGAAGCTTAGCAATCTACCCCAAAGTCACACAGCAAATCCAAGCCTCTGGCCCCTGAATCCATGCTGTGAAAGACTGTGTGATGAGCTGTTTAGAAACTGAGCCTTGCTGAGAAATTTTTCATGAGAGAGAAGCAGGATCCTCGTAGGACTTGTTCTAAATCCAGATCCACAACTTTTGTTGCTCTGTGCTGTTTAATGCTATCTAACTGATCATTCAGAAGGGTTTCAGAGGCTGTAAATTCCATGGAAAAAGATTGCCCATTTTTCTTCTGTGAAATAGCTGGTGGATTTAAACTGTGTGCATTTGGTTTGACGGCACAACTTCTTACCACTAAGCCACCAGAGCTCTCTGAGTGTGTGGTCAGCATTTAGCTGGACCCTGGCTGGTGCAAATGGCTGACTAACACAGCTAATGAAAAGATTGAAGTTTCTAGTCTACCCAGAGGAACCTCAGAAGAAAAGACTATCAATTTATTTCAAATAAATAAACCACTGAAAACCTTATGGGATAGTTTTATTTGGACACACATAGAGTTGCAATGAATCTCAATTGAACTTGTGGCACCTTTCCTCCCTCCCCGCCCTCCACTGCCCCCCCCCTTCCCATCCAGGTTTATGGAGTGAACTCTTCCAAAAGAGCAGGCTGAGTATTATTTCTGGCAAAACTTCTAGGCAAAGGCATGGCCACTACTTCTGACAAGTCTCACAACACATGTCAATTTCTCCACAGTCCTCTGGTTGAGAACCGTTTCTTTCTGGTCTCTGCTGAAGCAGAGAAAGAACTGAAGGCTCGCAACAAGAAGTTTAGTGATATAACAATTAAGCAATCATCTGCTAACCTAAGTTTGATGGTTTAAACTCGCCCCTGTCTCCACAGGAGAATGTTGAGACGGAACCAGCTCATAGCTGACTCTCCATTGAGTTCTCAGAGGCAGTAAGTGGCATGGGAAGAGATTGTCCATCTATCTTCCATGAAGGAGCTGGTGGATCCAAAACTCATTCCTTTGGATTGACAGCACAACGTCTTATCACTAAGCTGCCATAGAAGGGCATGGAAATATGTTCCTGTTAAAAATTACAGACCAGAAAACCTTAGCTGGCACTTCTGCTCTGTCCCATGGGGTCACTGTCAGTTCATGATCGACTAGGTTGCACTTAACAAAAATAACCGTAAGAGTGCCTGATCCAGAACTCTAAAAAGACTCCACACTTTAGGCAGTCCCTTCAGTTGTTCCTAGAATACTTGTGCCCCATATTACCTTCCATTTCTTCTTGTGTCACCGTAAGCAGACATCTATTACCAGGTTCCTAGGGCTTTCATACTTCTGTAGGTTCAGTTTGGCCCCTTTCATAGCAGTTACTCCACTGATACACAGGGCTGTTTGTTCACTATTGCTGGGAGCTAGGCATTATCACCCTTTACACAGAGTCTGTTGGAGTGCTTGGAAGCTCCTGGTCCCCAACCCCGCAGAGCCACTGGATGACCCTGAGCACCAGCCATCAGCTTTGTTCCTCAAGCCTCTGGAGAAAACCTTTGATTTCATGGGGATGATTATTTTTATTCTTGCCCACTCAAGGATGAAGCTCAAGAAATAAGAGGTTGGCCCTTTCAGAAGCATCACAATGGGTCACCTCCAGCCAAACCCGCTGTTTTTTGTTTGTTGTTATTTCTGGGTTTGGTTGGGGCTCTCTTAGAATCCATTACTATACAACTTACTTAAAGAAAGAGTGGAAGGTCTGGACATAAGAGACTCAGGGAGAAGGGGGCTTGGGGCGGGGGTGGTGCTGGAGGTAATGTGTTGTCAGAGAAAGCGCAGGAGGTACATAGGAAAGTCACAATCTGATTTGAATCAACTGCATTTTGTAGTGACATTTTTAATCTTTCGCAAAGCCCAACTATTCTAAGTTTGACTTTTAGCCAAGACAAGAGAATTGGTACTTTGGACGAAGGTTTCAGAAAAAGACACAACCACACACATACAGAGAGTGAGAGAGAAAGGAGGAGGGAGACTTTTATCCTAAAGTCATTGTAAATCCAAAGCAGGGTTTTATCCTCCACAGTTAAATGAGAAAGAAAGAAAGAAAGGGGGAAAAAAAATCAAGAATACTAACATTTGTGGTACAAAGACTGTCATGGGCCAGTGGAAGTTTGCAAAATTGTATGTAAATGACCAAAGTTTTTACTGTGGTGGCCTGTGCATTCCCAAAGCTAATCCCAAAGAGAAAATCTACTTAGCAAAAGAAAGTTTTGTCTAATTTGGTTAACAGTTGAGAAGTGACAAAAATGCTGAATATATTAATAATTTATATTTCCAGGGTAACACTATATCTTTAATGCTTCACTGCTGAAGGGAATTCAGATTGGCTTAATGCTCAGAGAAAAAACCCTGAAAGGCCTTCTTCATATTCTGTACCCAGCACTGACGAAAATGGGTGTAAGACATGTGTTCCAATAATAGGCACCAACCATTCTCACACTTCTGCATAATTTGTTTTTATCTCATATTGCCCAATATATATTTGTTAGCAGCAAAGGTTTGTATTAATGTTCATTTTTATGCTGCAATTTTACCAGTTCATAAAAAGAAGATATTTGTTTACATTTTATATGTTATAGAAAAGTTATTTCAAGAATCTTTTACATTAATACCTTTTCTAAGTTTATAGATCATCCTCCCCAAATACACGGTATGTTTCACTTTAAGGACAATGTAATAGCCCTTTTTGGCCTATCTCTATATAATGGAGTTTGATGGTTTACAAATTGCAGGTCATCCCATTCCATGACCTCAGTAAACAGTCCAGAATAGAGCTCCTTTTAACCCTGTCCAGGGGAATGATATAAGTTAATTTACCATCCTCTGGCTAATCGGAAAGAAGACAAATCATGTTCGGCTAAATGCTTCTGGAAATAAAGAGAGAAAATGTGCTAGATAATTTTAAGGTTTGTATGGGTTTGGTGGTTGGTTTCTTCTTCTTCTTTTTTTTTTTTAATCAGAAGCGTATGAAAATTAACAGGAACAAAAAAATTTTAAAAAATCCACAAACGTTCATTTTAGCCGCTGGATACCTTTCTTATTTACCAATTTACATAAAAAACCCTGGAAGGCCCATTATGCAAATCTTAACATTTGTTATTGTAAATGCATCTTTGTTTTGTTGTTAAGGCCATAGATTTAATTAAAAAGCACAATCCTTAAAGATCATTAGCCAAACCTGTCTTAGCGGACAAACTTCTTCATGCGGTTTGCCATGGAACTCTGGATGGACAAAGAAGATTTATACCAACAACAACAACAACAATATGAATTATGAGATCTAGTCATAAGTGAGTCTAAGCCTCAGTGGTGGGTAGAGGGCAAAGAGAAAAACCTCAGGCTCCATTCAAGTCCTAGTAGCGCTTGGGAATAGGCCATTCGCCCAGAACTGCATTCTAACGCAACTCTAAACTACCAGAGTTTGCATGGATCTGCAGAGGCACAAATTCAAGGCCGACAGGCTCTCTCCCCGTGCGCTCCTGAAGACAAAAACGAACATTTTCTCTTCAGGCTCAGAACCTAAATAAAGAACCTAGGATCTTGGTTCTTGCATAAACTAGAAGGTGGAAATCTTCAAGGCAATCAATTGCCTGGGGAAGTGAATTTTTCAACTCACTTCGGCGCGTAGGCTGCCTACTTTAATTTGTGCGCAAAAGGCAACCCACGTTTTCATGAATTTTCTGGCGTTCAAGCTGGGTGTCCAAATTGTCATCTGAAAATAGTAAACCTTACCAGATGCTGTTTTTTTAAACCACAACTCTGAGCGCTAATAGTTCCAAATATTTATACAGACAAGGATAAGGCTGTAAACCCGGCCACATGTTCTCTGCGCTCCAAACCCGCCAGCGAAACCCAAGTGTGCGTCCCAGTGTTGTTTTAGCGCAAAGACAGCGCCATTGTGGAGAGGGAGATCTACCCACATCAATTTCGAACAGGCCCTTCGTTTTGCACTTTCTTCTCGCCTGTCCCTTTCCAACGCAAATGCCCATTATCTGTGTAGGACAGATGCGGGCCTGGAGCTTCGGAAGTGTCACCGAGGCACCAGTGGACCCTGAATCGCACTTCGCAGCAATTAATCCAGCATAAGATTCAGTCTCCTTGAGCCTTTCCCCCACCTCTCAAACTTCCTAGCAGGACGCCCCACCAAATTACTGAGGTCCTAAATCTTGGTGTCTACCAGCCGAGAGACCTGGATAATTCAGAGCGAGTGGATTGTGGAAAGGCAGAATGTAACACCGACAAAATCCTTCTCGTTGGGTCTTTATCAGAAGGCATTTATTGCAAGGGGAAATCCTTCCAAAGAATAATTACCCTTGGCCTTCCCCCAGCCAGGTTTCTGTTTTTCTGCACAATATATATACACCTGTACAACAGGCAGTGCTTCTCCTAAGCAGCGCCCAAAGCAGAGAAATGTGGCCGTGGAGTAGGTGTCAGAGAACTGTGGGGTGCTGGGGCGTGTGCAGGTTGAGGGCGTTGGGGTGGGCGTGGCCGATCAGGTTGAGGTAATGGCGGTCCAGGCCCTGCACTGGCGTCAGGAAGGGGCTGTGTGGTTGTGCGGGACTTTGCAGCGGCACCGGCGCGCTGGGCAGATAGGGCAGCGCCGGGCTGCGGGCGGCGCCGTGCGGCCAGGGGAAGGGCCCAGGGGCGGCGCTCTGCGGGAAGACAGCAGCTTCACCCGGATTGTGACTGGTCAATTCAGGCCCTGCTGGGTGTAGTTGGTAAGAGAAATCCGGCTCTGTGAGGGACCCCAGGGGCGAGAAGGCAGGCTCACTGCCCAGGCGGGCCTTGGACTGTAAGAAGGCGAGGATGCGCGCGTACTTGGTGTCCTTCGTCTCCATCCTCTCCACAGTGGTAAGGTAATGCACAAGATTCTTCATGCATTCATGGTAGCCATAATGGAAGTAGTTAGCAAATTCCGCTAGAAGCTCTGCTGGAGGGGCAAGAATGAAGATAGAAAGGGAGGGGGGGAAGTGTATGGTCAATGCACCCTGGGGAACCCGAGGCCAGAGCCTAGTACCGCTCTTCACGTTTCCTTCCCACAATTTCCCATTGAAGCCCTTCCTTCCTTCTGCTCATTTGGACACCACCAGAAAGGTCGGGCAAACGACCTGTGCCCCACCTGCCCCACCTGAAGAATCATGACTCCCCTTCACCCTAGGAGACTGCAGGGCCTGCGGTTCCAACCCTCCCTACAGTGCTGCTTCGCCCGCGCCTCCGTAGAAAAAGTGCTTCTGTGGGACTCTCCCCCAATCCCAAAGCCCTTTTGCAAGATCTTATTTCCACTTCCAGCACCCAGGTATGGCGCGCGCGCTTTTATTTTCCCAGCTGCGCCCACCTTTTTCCCTCCCGCGAGGAAAATCAGCAGAATGCAGTGCTCTCAGGTACTGAACCGTCATCTCGAGGATCTCCGCCTTCTCCAGCTTCCCAGAACTCTGCAAAGGAAGGAAGAACTTTTCGCAGCCGGCACAGCCAACCTTGGCAGAGTGCGCGTGCATGGTTTCCCTGTGGAGGCGACTGGCGGGCAGAGCAGTGCGCTGCTGGTTCTATACGAGGACCTCCTGGGGCTCAGCCAGAGCTCTGGTCACTGTGGAGGTAGGCTCACAAGGACGGACTTCTAAGTCCCAAGATTTACAGCGTCTCAGTCTGTGACTGAGAGTGACTACGGAGGGTTCCTAGTGACTGGTATCCCGGCTCCCAGCTATATATGTTACCTGCTTTGCCAAGGCCATAGGCACCGTCTTGCCCAGCTCGTTCAAGCAGCGGTTGATCCTGTCCCTCCTCCTCTTTTCTATCACTTTGTGGGAAACTGGGGTTCTCTGTGAACAGAGGTTTGTTTGTATGTTTAGGATGACTTTGCTCAGGTAGTCGTCGAAATCAAGGCTAGAGCTGCCAACCAACTTCCCTGCCCTCTACACTACCCAGAGGTCTGCCCCAAGAAGGGACCCTTGCCCCTTCACTATAGAGCTCATTGAACTCCCTCCTCTCACAACAGCAGTGATGCGCTCCCGCTCCAGCCGCCCTACATACTCAAGCCACACGACCAAGCCCTTTGGGGAGCTAGCTAGCCTCCAGTCTTTGGGTATAGGTTAAGGATCCTCTCCCTTTTCTATGCCCATTCCTTTCCCAAACCACTCGAGATTCCTCCACACGCAAAGTCCCGTGTGGTCACGTTTCTGCCACAGGTTCAGCCAGGTGGCAGCTCCAAGCACCACCAGAGCGCAGGGGCGTCTGGTCTCAGTCGACTCACTTTGCGTTCCTTGAGCTTGTCTGACATCCTGCTGAGTTTGCGCCCTGGGAAAAGGCGGTGACCCGAGGCACCCGTCCACTTTCCACCTCGTGTGCCTCCTCCCGTGTCCCAGGTAGACTGCAGCCTCCCGACTCCGAAGGGCTGCCTTATAAAGCGGTCATCTAGGGCTCCAAGTGCATTCACAAATTGAATTATTCCATAGGATTAGGGGAGTTGTGTTTGGGGGATGTATGCATTCACGATCAGTTTTAAAGAAGTTAAGGGGGGAAAAAAATTAGCAGCCGAGGGGGGCGAGTTGGGGGCAGATCAGCTTTGTTAATCCACGTGGCCCTTCAAAGGACACGTGATCAGCGGGGCCTAACATTTGCATGGCAACAGCCGGGGCGGGAAAAGGAGGTGGTAAACCCGCCGGCAGGCGAGCGAGCGCCTGCAGCAGGCGCAGAGCGCAGGGGCGCAGTGGCCGTGGGCACCGGGGGGCAAGGACCCTCACAAAACAGTGTCGCCTCCTTTAGTCCCACCGCTGAGTCTCACATGATCGCCTGTTTACAAATCCCAGCAAGCCCGCCGTCCCAGAGCCGAGTGCGTTTTAAAGCCTGTCCAGAGTCATTAAAGTAATTAAGTAAGCCTTTAATAGGCTGTTCCGCCGGGTTCAAGGGAGAGCTCTTGGAGACGGAGGCGCCCCGTTTGTTCCCAGGCTTTTCTCACACGACTTGGTGACACGTCCATCTCCCCCCTTTTTGTTTACACCGCTTTATTTGTCCGGACATCCCGGCAGGTGTGGGGCTGCGGCTGGCACACGAGGCTCTCGCCTCGCCTGGCCCCTCCCGCCGCCTTTGGCACGCGACGCTCCCCCTCACTCGGTGTCCACGTCACTTGCTCTCTCCCCCCGAACCCCCGCCCCACCTCTCTCTTTGAGGGGGGAAGAGGCTCAATTTGTAGCCTATTATCCTATACGAAAATGTCCATTGAAAAGTATGAATAGTTTCATTGGGCTAAATTTTAATAATGCCAGAGAGTGGGGGCGGAGAGACAGACGGGCATGTGCTTGGGGTGGGGTGGGGGTGGACGAGGGTGGGATGGGAGGGGTGAGGGGCAATACGGAGAGGAGTGGGCCAGAGAAGAAAAGGGGGAATGCAGCTGGCCCGGGCGAGCATTATGCGACGTCACCTGCAAGAGGGGGCGCCTACAGACCCCTATTCATTTGCCTAATTTTGGTCAATTTAACAAACTTCAGGAGAAATTATTGTGGCTTTGTCAGGGAGGGTGAAGCCTTCTGATCGAATTAACAGCATGTTTTGATCCGGTAAATGTCATTAGAAAGGGAGAAACAATCGCGCTTAGAGGGCTCTGAGTAATGCGCCCAAGTGGAGACGCCAAAGCGCACGGCTCACAAAGGGAGCAAGTAGCTGCCACAGGGAACTTTTGTACCCGCCCATCGCCCAAGTTTTGACACAAAAAGGCATTATTTCATACTTGAATACGTTTAATCCAACGATTGTCTATTTTCTGCAAACATATTTTCACAGCATTGTTAACTTTTTATGTCCCCCTTTCGCGGGAGCCTTTTCTTAACGTTTGGGGGCGGGAGAGCGCAGACACTTTGGGCATCAATATTTGTCACTGAAAAGGGCCCCGTGAAGTTAGGGAAGTTGATCTCTTTTTTATGGTTTTAGAGAGCGAAAATATCGGGGGAGGGGAGGGAGGAAAGGCAAGAACAGAAATGAAGGAGAAAATTTGCTGGACGGGCCCAATGGGAAGGAGGGGGGCGGCTGCAGCGGCTGGGAACTCACTTGGCCGCCTGCGCCTCTGCGGGCAGCCAAGCCAGGCGTCCTGGGGCCTCCTCCCCCACCAGCAGGGCTCAACAGCTCACTTCTGCTGCCCGAAACCTGCACTCTGGGGGCTCTGAGCTTTCAGGATGTGTATGTGGGGGAGAGTTTTCTCGCAGATGGAAACAATAAAAATTGGGTTTTGTTTTATGACTGGCCCTGAAGCTACTGAGCTCCATCGCCTTTCTAAACGTTTCCATCTGGAAAATGAGGCCTCTCCTTATATATCTTTTTCTTTCTACCCCTCGCACCCCCACCTGTCTTCCTAAATCCTCTCAACTCTTCTGGAGTGGAGCTGGGACCCAGGGTCTCCTTTGGGTGTCGTTAGTCCTCAGTGGAAGTGCCTTGGGTGGAGGCCCGCTCACTGGTGGGATGGAGCTCCCAGGGCGCAGAGCCAGGCTGCTCGTCCAAGCCTCTGGGCAGCACGCAGTCTACCTGCCACCACCCGGGAGCTGTGGGAGCTGGCTCGTGCCGCGCACTCTTGGGGTGCCCTTCTCCTTTTAGCTTCCAGTTTGGTCACGAGGGTTCGACACTGGTTCACACCAGATTGGACAGGAGCAGCATCTTCCCAAAGGTTTCTCTGCCAGCCTCGGGTGCTCTCTCTGGAGATGCCTATTGCGGTGTATTCACTCACACACAATGGGATTAAAGGCGAACCCTTATCATCCAAATTAACTAACGTGAATGGGTACCGGAGTGCGCACACTTCTCACCCCCACCCTTCTTTTTAAACCAACCCACTAGAAGTTGATCCTCTTACTGCTGGTGTTAACCGCCAGCTGCAGGCACCTTCCACGAATCAAACATAATTCTAAGCAAACTGTTTATTTCCAGGGTTTGCTTGCAGAGCTGCACTCAAGGTTTTGCTCAGGCACAAGTCCCCGAGGTTGGTGGAAGGAAAGGGTTCCAACCTTAGTTACGCAGTGGGGAACTGAATACGGAGGCACATTTCCTACCAAAAGCCAGAAAGGATGGAAAAACTGCTTCCCTTCTAGGCTAGGGAAAGAGTGTGCTTTTCAACTTCTCTTTCCCAGCCTTGATCACCCTACGCCAGAGTATGATGCAGGGACCCTCATAGTCATCCTTCAACACCGGTGATGACCAAGAGGTTTTTGATGTTAGTCTAGTTATGGCTCCAAAATGAAAAGCACAGAAGCCTCTGGTGCTAAACGTTGGTGGTGAGGTTAGGTGCCCGCGAGTCAGCTAAGACTCACAGCGACCTGATGAACGATAACTCTGAACCCTTTTCTATCCTGTACCATCCTCACAATCTTCGACACGCTTGAGCACAATTGCTGCAGTCACTGTGACAATCCAGCTAGCTGAGGGTCTTTCTCTGGCTGAGTAACACACCACCTTCCCGAGCATGACGTCTCTGTCCAGGGGTAGCAGGGAGGACTTGCTGTAGAAGATCAGACTCCAGCCTTCAACATGGATGACATCTCAACAGCAAAAAAAAAAAAAGAAAATTCTCACCACTGGACTAATCAACATTATGGTAGATGGAGAAAAGATTGAAACAGCCAATGACTTTGTCTCACTTGAATCCACAATCAATACTCGTGGTATCTACCAGCAGTCAGGAGATCAGGTGATGTACTGCATTGAGACCGCCTGCAGTCAGGGACCTCTCCAAATTACATCATTGAGGAGCAATGGTGTCAGTTTGAAGGCCAAGGCGTGCCTGATCCAAGCCAGGGTCTTTTCATGCACTTGCTATGCTGTTGAGAGCTGAACAATAACTACGGATTCCAGAAGAAGAATTGATGCCTTTGAACTATGTTGTAGGAGAAGGGTACTGAATTATCTTATGGATTGCCAAAAGAACAAACATCTATCTCTTGAAGAAAGTGCAACTAGAGTGCTCCTTGGAGGGAAACATCATAAAACTTGGTCTTGCATACTTTGGATGTGTTGTTTTTGTTGTTGTTATGTGCCGTGGAGTCGTTTGCGACTCATAGCGACCCTATGTACAACAGCCCTAAACCTTGCTCTATCCTGTGCCAATCTCATTGCCTCTGACACACCCATGCTGATTACCCCAGTCACTGAATCAATCCATCTCATAGAGGGTCTTCCCCTCGGGCACTGTCCCTCCACTCTGCCCAGCATGATGTCCCTCTCTAAAGACCTGTCTCTCCTTACAACATGTCAGGCGAAGCCCCAGAATCCTTGCCTCCAAGGAGTAGCCTGGTTTAACCCTCTCTAGGATGAACCTGTTTGTTTTCTTGGCAGTCCATGGTACATTCTATACTCTTCTCCAGCACCACAGCTCAAAGGCATCAATTCTCCTTCTAGCCTCCCTAGTCATTGTCCAGCTCTCTGATGCATAACAAATGATTGCAAAAACCATGGCCTGTATCAGGTGCACCTTAGTCTCCAGAGAGACACCGTTGCTCTTAGGAGAGGTTATTCCTTGGAGAAGAACATCATGCTTGGAATGGTGGAGAGTTGGTGCGAGAGAGGAAGACCCTCAACCATGTGCATTGACAAATGACTGCTATCATGGACGGGAGTCTGTCAGAAATTATGAGGATACCACAGGACAGATTAGGGCTTAGATCTGTTGTTCATAGTGTCACTATGATTTAGTTGTACTTGATTCAATGGCACCAGTGACAACATATCTCAACTTAGAAGCTGAAAGGAACTCAGATTGGGTAAGACCCATGTGTCCCTTGTAGGGGTGATTGCCTATGCCTTTGCATCTTGATATCTTTGTCTAAAGCAGCTTAATCTTTTTCTCCTTTCTTTCCACCTCTACTTTTAGGTTCACTCCAGACAGCTTTATCCAACACCATTGTTGCTATTATGTGCCATCAAGTCTCTTGCTACTCATAATGACTCTATGTACAATAGCCCTGAAACCTGCTCTATCCTGTGCCAACTTCACTGTCTCTCATTCATCTACTCTCATGATCCCAGTCCCTGTATCAATCCATCTCATCGATTGTCTCCCTCTCTTTCTCCTTTCCTCCACCCTTCCAAGCATGATGTCCCTCTCCAAGGACTCATCCCTCCTTGCAACATGTCCAAAGTACATCAACTGAGCGTCAGAATTCTATTGCCTCCAAGGAGCAGCCTGGCTTCACCCTCTCTAGGATGACCCTTTTTGTTATCCTGGCAGTCCATGGTATATTCAACACTCTTCTCCAGCATCGCAGCTCAAAGGCATCAATTCTCTTTCTATCATACTTAGTCATCGTCCATCTCTCTGACACATAGCAAACAATTGTGAAGACTATGGCCTGGATTAGGTATACCTTAGTTTTCAGACATTGT